TAGTCTCTTTTCTTCCAGTAACATCCTCAAAAGCCAACACTTTTAACTGTGAACTCATTTAACATCCATTAATGGAAGTGTATGTATATTGACGGTGTGACATACAATAAGTCTAGAGTTAAATTTAATGGATAAACCACAGCAAATATTAAAACTGTTCCATGTAATAAATAAAAAAGGGGAGTAAAAACTGTCTGGGGTATTGTCATATACAAAGTACGCAAGACATCTCATCTGCTTTCTGGCGTTAACCCAGCTGAGACCTAGCTACCATGTAAAAAACAGATTAAACTAACATCCATCAAGGTGAAAGATAATTATTGCTTGTGTCAGACAACACCTGTTTTTGCAGCATTCCTCAACTCAGTTAAACTAGAGACATGCTGAAGCTTTCCACTGAATTTTACATTTGACAGTTCCCTCAGGCAATTGTGTCTGTGAAACACCTTCACCTCTTCCTTTGTTTACATTTTGGGTAGTATAAAAATGTTAAAATACTAAACAGAAAATTTAAAATTAAGCAGAAAATCCAGCAGCAGAATATGGATATTTGTTGAAAAAAATATTATAATAGTCAGTCTATTGTGAAGTCTACATAAAGATCTGTTGAAAGCATTCATTTGAGAATGAGTGCTGGTTGCCTTACTTATGTGAGTAAACCCATTTACTTTACTGGAAGTTTGTAAGATGGAAAGTAGTAGTCCCTAGAGAAGGGCATAATGCACTCTTGCTATCTTTAATGGCACTGCATAGGTTGTAAGGCGAAATGTTGATCCTATGTGTAATCTGTATTACAGGCACAGGACTTCACAACAAAGTCCTGCTTCAGATGTGCCAAGACAGCTTAGAGCTGATGGATCAAAGTGCATTCTGTTATGTGAAAAGGAATGATACATATGCATGCTATAGCTTTTTATAGGTCAGCTTACAGAAGGATTTGGTGTCTTTTCTGTTTTGTTTTGCATTTTTTGTGACATGTAGGATAAAGTTTGCTTTTTTGTGATTGCAATATCAGCAGAGGTATTTTGAAATAGAACTTATTTTTGCTGTAAATAGATAAAAAGAATTGAGAACTCTAGGTCATCAACTCCTCTGCAAGTTACAATGTAACTTGATCAGGTTAAATACTAAAAGGTCCAACCCAGACTGCCCATACATCAGGAAGGGTCTTTTAATCAATTGGGGGTGGGGGATGGCGGGGGTTGGGGGGGCGAAGTGTTGGCTTATTCTTGATAGAAAGGCCAGGTGAATGATTTTGCTTAAACAGCAGCCCATAAATGAATCTGACTGGAGGAGATGTTACTTGAAGGAGAGAAGAAGTGCAGAGTTTGGTACAAACTGCCCATTGAATCAAGAGGGAAGGGAAGTGGAGTGTGTATAATGGAGTACCAATCATCCCATTAAAAACAAAACTGCCAGCACATGGTAATCTATGGTAAACCCTGTTCAAAAGGTGAAGAAAGCCTCTCTGCAAAAATGTGCTTCCCAAGAAGAGAGAAACACCGAGGTACATAGAACAGAATGAGCTGAGGTCACAGATGTGATGTTTATTGGGGCAATAGAGCCAGAGACAGCACAGCATGCCTCATTGCAAAAGGAGGCAGCAGTTAACAGTGATCGGTACTAGAGGTTTTTAACAACACAGTACTTCTAAAGACTGCACACAGATTTGAAAACAAACATGATTGGATGGTGAAATGTGTAACATGAAGTCTATAATCAAAAGGCCTTAAAGGAAAAGGTGCTGCTGCAAACAACTTAGGGGAGGCAGTTACACTCCTACAGATAAAAGAAGTAAGAGCGTCTTGTGGGAAACGTTTGCTGAATGACCAGGCAGAGGAAATACTGGGGCTACCTCAACAAGTCATTCTTAAGGGTTTTATCCAAGAGCATGTCAGGGCAATATGGTCACAGAAAGGGCAGTGCTGACACCACCCACAAATAGAGGGGTTGAAATGACTGCAGTGCTACCTTTTCCATTTGAAACTCATGTGGAGGGCAAACTTTGGTCAGCAATGTCCTTAAGTGAGTAACTATACTCCTGTTAGAATTAAGAGAGCAACAAACAAAACAAAATCAATAGAGGAGACCGCAAATTGATTAAAGTCAACTGGCATCTCACCAAAATCTTAGTGGTCTATATAGATCCCTAAGATTTTGTTAAGAGTGTAATAAAAGAGCAGTATTACAGAGGACAGTCGGTGACACAACAGTCATGAGCTTTCCATAAAAAGGATGCTTTACAAGAATCCATGGTCTTACGATAGATGACAGAATGGCCAAGATATGTATTTCATAATACTTTAGTAGCATCGTCACATTAATTTCCAGAACAATGGATGGACAGAGACCCAAATCTAATCTGACAATACAGAAACCAGAGTCAGGAGTTAAGAGTATGCAAACAGCAAGAGTGTGTCTGTGGAAAGTGTTTTGGAGACGATGCATCAATAGAGGATGAGGTCAGTGGAGAAAGCTGTCAATTATTTGAGCTGGAAATCTACATTTGCTGGGAGCTGTATTAACAATACAGCTGGTAATGATTACATAAAAGCAGTACAGGAAATACCAGAAACAGAAGATAAAAAATGTCCTTTGGCTTAAATGTATGAAAAATGCATCTTTGTAGTTATAGTGATAACTGTGGAAGGTCTTAGTGCATTTCTTTACATTTATTTTAATATACTGATTCTGTGATTTTGAATAATGTGCTTAGAGCATGAGTCAGTTACATTAAACCTAACTAAATAAAAGGTATAATTGGTGGCTAGAGCAGTGCAATGAGATCAGTGGGAGGAACCAAATAATTAGGTTCCATACAATGTTTTTCAGAGTTTTATTTTTCAGACAAATCTGAGCACAGACCTAACATATATTCTTTCAAATCCCAGACATAAAATACATTGTTACGGTTATGAAACATAATAGTCTTAGCCCTGGAGTTTATAGCCTAGAACTGAGTGCCAAGTCTATATTTCTATCTGTGTTAACACTTTAACATCTAATACCATCTGAAATGATTCAAAACTGGTAGAGAAAATCCAAATCCTCAGGCCAACAACCAATTTGAAGAACAAATCATTACAATTAGCTGCCAAAGAGGAGATGCTAACTGCTGGATTCTGGTTGAAGGAACTGGCCCACTGACCAGCTGAATCCCATGTAACAATCCCTTACCCCTTTGCCTGTGTGACACCAGGTACTTGAGTTGGTACCAGCGCTGAACATGACACTATATTTATCTTACCAATTTTTTCCTGGTCCATATCATCCTGATACTTACACAGTTAAAACCTTTTCATAAAATTCTCACCCTCTCATATCTCAGTTCTAACATATATTTTTGTCAGGTTTTCACTAATTCAGTTTTTCCCTGTTCATTTCCATTCAGAAAGACAGCTAAAAGATTATTTTCCTAGACTGTTATTTCACTCATCTCTCTCTCAGAAGCATTCTCTCTGTAGCGTAAGTCAGGGTAAGCGATTTGTCTTTTCTTTTAAGGAGTTTCATAGCTTATCTGAGCTTCTCATTCAGCATCTAAAGGTCGACTCCTATTTTTAACCCGTTAATAATGCCGGTGTCTATTTTCCACTTGTTACATTTTCAAAAGAGCACCATAGTGCTTTCATCCATATATTTGGCAGAAGCGTCATTAAGAACTTCTTTAGAAGTGCAACCTATTTATCTTCATTGCCCTTAGATACAATGCCTACACAAAAATTGCCATCAACAGACTGCTGGGGTCCTGAGACGCCTGCTCCTCAAACTGATGAGTGTTGCTCTGGTGTTCTGTTGAAAAGCTCTCTGTAATTTGTTCTCTTTTATGGAACAGTTGAGGTCTATGGGGCAGGGACTTAGGGACTTTTACTGCTCTGTGTTTATGCAACATTGCTAGGACCTACAGTAATGCTAACAGAAGAATAATTAATAAGACAGCATCCGGAATTATGACTCCCAGAGGGCAGAGTTATTTGCTACCTTATAGCTTGTGGATAGCTATGCACAGGAAGACAACTTTTACAATAAATGGAAGATGACTTTTACATGATCTACCAGTTATCTCAAAGACCTGACCTTTCTTCAGCACCAAGCAGGGAGATCCTGGGTGATTAAAGATGCTGTGTCTGAAAACAGACCTAAAAAACTGGCCCCAACATGTTTTGGTGGCACTGCTCCCTTCTAAACTTTCTCCCTCCTAATCTCTTAAAAATGTATGCATCAACACAGCAGTCTAGCAAGCCATTTTAGGAGCTGATTTGATTGATGCTTCTGTAATAGGTTGCCAGTACTAAGTCCTACAACAAATTAGAAAGAAATGGGAGAGCAGGGGCACACACAGGGTCTACAGAGCAAGGGTCAGCTTCCTAAGTCTCACAGAGGATTCAGTGTTTCAGTTGGGGAATGGGTTTGATATACTGTTCTGAACTTCCCAGAAGAACGACAAGGGGATGTGAAGGATTAAACATATTGGTCATCCACACCTGCCACTGTGATGGTAACAGCAGCCTCAGGGCGGCTGGCACCAAAATCTTTCCTGTCCATTATCATGCCGGATGCCAGAAGTAACTTTCTCCCGGGCTCACAAAATGGGTGGCAACGGCCACTCTTCCACCCCCTAGCCCAGAGGGATCCCAAGATGCAGCTGCTCTGCGGGTCCAGGCTGAGCTGGGTTTGCGGTAGCTGTGTCTGGGTCTTCGACTGGAATGTCAGTGGATGGAGAAAAGTAAATTTATCCCTTGAAAAAAAGCATCAAGCTAGTTTATGGAACATATAGGGTGTGAATTCTCCACTTCATGGGGAGTACATGGAGCCAATCAAAGGTTCAACTGATTTTATTACATTTTTTCAAATTAGTGTGAGTACTGGAGAGAACAAAATGTTCGTGTCATATGTAGATCAGATCCCTGTATGGAATTTAATGAGGGTACTGCCCTTCAAACCGTGTGTTGCTGTCAGTTTCTTCACATGCTTAAGGACACTGTAGAACACTGGGGGGGGGGTGTCCGAAAACCGTAAAAAAGAAGGAAAAAAAAAAAGGCTCTGCCATCACTGCTGGCGCCCCTGGTTAGCATGGAGGGCTGGATTGAAATCACAGGTGTGAGGCCACCTCCAGCCCCCAGTACTGCCACCCTCCGTGCCAGCAGGGAGCCCGCTCCCCGCTCCGCGGTTACTGAGGCGGGGGTGTGCGTGTGAGGGGGCAGCGCGGCCGTTAGCGGGGCAGCCGTTAAGGCCGGGGGCCGCGGCCGTTAGGGCTGAGGGAGCAGCGCGCGGCGCACAGGTGTGCGCGGCGGGGCAGGTGCGGCGGCGGCATGAGGGCCACCCCCCACACACACACACAGCGCAGTGTCCGTGTCCCCTCGCCGCCGCCGGGCTGGTGGCCGGAGCTCGGCGGTGGTGGGTTTGGAAGCGAGCAGGGAAAGACACCGGGACCGCCTGCTGCAGGTACAGGGGAGCGATTTTTCCGCGGGCAGGTGGCGGGGGGGGGGGCGGTAGGAGGTGCCCGCCGTGCTCTCCGCAGCCCCACGACGTGTCGGGGGGGGCAGGCGGTTCCTTTTCTCGTTCCTGCAGGACGCTGTCGCATTGCAGGGGGTTTAAACAAACAAGCAATAAATAAATAAAACCCACCAAAAAAAAAAACAACAACCTGTGTGGTGGAAGGGAGCCTTGCCCACCACAAATGAAGTGGAAGGCTTAAAGTGGAGCTGCATGAGTGGGGCTGTGGTGTCCAATGGCCAGCCTGAGAGGTTTAGGGGGAAAATAATGGAATAGCAAATACTTCAGGGGTTTTCTGGTACTCGAGCTTGTCTTCTTGGTGTCATTCAGCTGGGTAAAAGCATATATAACTACGTTGGTAAGCTTTATTGGAGAGGTGACATTAAATTTTGCAATTGTTACAGCTGCAGAAAGTAAATAATTAGGTAATCTCTGGGTTGGTCTTTCCACTCTTCCGCATGGAAGGGAAGTCCTGAGTGACTCTAGTCTGATGGGATGGTGAAATAAAGGTTCTGGTGCAGTATGATTATCTTCACCGGGGATTTACAGAGGACTGAATGGTTGTAGGGCTTCATCACCCATCTGTTGATTTTGTAAGGCCCATCTGAACCCCGTGCAGTATGCAATCATCACTGTTAGTGTGGTCAGATATCTTTGTCATTCATAAATGCTGGTGAATTATGAAACTGATCATGAACTTGAAGTGTGGGACATCTTCCAGGGTCTTAAAAGTAATTTTAAAAGCCTCAAAATATTTTCCAAGTTTTGCTGGCTGGTAGGTCTAAAATTGGTAACGTGTGAAGTGAGACTTCCTTCTGTAGAATTTTTAGTAACTCTTAAGAAGGGATCATAGCAGTTAGATGCAAGAAGGCCGAGATTTAGGGTCTGTGAGGAGCATTGCCATAAGGATCTTAAATGCACCTTATTTTCTCTCTCTTTCTCTCTCTTTTTTTTTAATTTTTATTTTATTATTATTATTTTTTTTTTTTAAGGACTCATTCTCATTCTGGTATATGTCAAGACAATTTTTTTTTCCCTTTGGAAAAAAATATTTCAACTTCTCCAGAATAAAGGGAATCTAGCCTGAACATAAAAATGAAATTGCAGTGTAGGGAGCCAAGTGAATTCATGTGTGCAGAGTATTTTTTTTTTTTTTTTTTTTTTAACTAACTTTATCTGTGAACTCCCAGCCCTGGAGCCTATTTGAAATAAGATAGGAAGCTTCAGTCTTGTCACAAATGCAGCTACAACTTGTCCTGGGGAAGCCTTCGTAATGGGGTCAGGTAAAGTTCAATGAACTACCAAACCAGCACTATTTCAGAAATGCTAAGGTGCTCTTTCCACTGATCTCTGCACTCTCTCTGCCTGTTATTAAACTGGTAGTTTTTACAACATCAATAAAGAACTTTCCTACCCAATTGCCCCAGACAAAGGCCTGAAAGCTAGGTTTAAACTATGAAAACTTTGTGTTAGGTTCATTTAGATTGTTTTGCTGTGTCAAATACTCACTTGAGTTCAAAAGTTCAGATGAACCATGAACTTTGTCATTTCACAGCAGGCAGTTCTACAAATATAATCGGAAAGTGAAAAAACACGCAATATTTAAGGTGCATTTGTTGTTCTGTGCAGAACATATTTGGAGTTCTGTGTTTGCAAAGTTCTGCTTGATTTAAAGAAACTTTTAACTATTTAAAAGATGGAAAAAAAGGAACTAAATACATTTAAGCCAAATAATTCCTTGATCCCTGACCTTTTAGGCTTTCAAACCAACACATATTCAGTGACTAATCATTACTGCACAAACTAAACCCAGCTAATCTTCTTAATAAATTGTGAAGTCTTGTATGTCTCATGGTTTCAGTGATGGCTTTTCTCCCCGTCTGGAACACTGCAGAATATCAAAACAAATGGGTCATGGCTTTATGTATTTGTTTAAGTTTGAATCTATGTCATCTTATGATACAGTCTTGAGTTGGGCAGGTTTTACAAGTGTATGTCAATTATAGGACTGTTAGTAATGAAAAATCTGTCAATGCAATTTTCAGCTACTTATTAGATAAAGATGTGTCAGCTAAAACAGTTTGTGCAAAGCCACTTTTTAAATATGGAAACTTACCAGGCTGAAGAGCCTGTAATAAATTCAGTTTCTTTTCCGTGAAAAGGAATTCCTTATACCTACACTCTCCTTGCTTCTAGTAGATCTGGAGACTTAATCTGTTGGGAATAAGCAACATTTCTTTTACAGACTTAAATTTGGCATCAGAAACAACAAGTCTTGCTTTAAGTCTGTCATCCCTGACTGTTCAGAAATTGTGATTCATGACTCCCAGAATTGTTGCATTTGTTTTAAATAAATAAATCTATGACATTATTTTATGTGTATTTTTTAAATATCACATTTTCTGATTATTACATTAGAAACAGAATTTTTGAATTTCTCTTTATGCTGTGTAAGAGTTTATTACAACACTCAGAAACTCTTTTAAGGAAAATGTCACATTTATGGATTTTTTTTGGTTAAAATTGCTATATTTGGTCACTGTATGAAGTGTGTGTTCTTTGCAGTAGGCATCATTTAATTGTATTGAAACAATTCATCACTGTTGTGTTACTCAGCAAAGAACAGATATAAACATAAGGAAGAAATTAGCAGTCATGTCCTTTGTGAACAACAAAGAGGGGAGAATGAGGAAATGTCAAATTTGGTGGACATCTGCAATAGTTCAAGATCTACACTGCTAAGCCAATCTCTCTAATTCAGGTTGTGATCAAGTTTGTGATGTGAGTTGTGATTGTTACAACGCTCATAACCCTACTTCCTCCCTCTTGCTTCTGCTAAATGGAAAAAACTACGTGTTCTCAGAGTGCATTTCAGCCTTTCTGAACAATTGCAATTGTTCATTGTCTTGGACAGTTCTGCCACATCTGAAAAGGCTGCAGTATCTTAAATGAGTGCACCTATTCCAGTAGTCAGTGGTCCTTATCTCATGGGGATAGCTCTGCTGCAGCAAGCATGAGCTTTTTTCTCTTTCAGGATACTGTATGCTGAAGCCAGGGAAGGAGAAATTGAATTTTCCAGAATACAAGCAGTGTAATGGCAATATATTCTTATTGAAGGGATCAGGATATACCACAGACATTGTTTAATGGCTTGTTTATAACCTATTTTATCTAAATGCATGTAAATCTTTCATCAGTCCTTTATACTGGGTAAAAATCATAGAGCGGTACAAAAATTCTAGGTCTAGGTGAGGACTGTCTTCTGTGACATCTTGTGCCTTCTCTTCCAGCACTTGTGGGGACAGGTTGGTGGTAGGATTGTTTATGGAGGTGAAGGATGAAGGCTGTATCATCACTGAGGTTCTGGGCAGCCTTTCTTGATGTGGGCAGTGAGAAACTCCTGACAGTGGGCTGTGGCACACCAGCAGGGAGGTCTCGCACACAGCTCCAAGTTAGTTGGGAGTTCTGTCGCTTCCTTGAAAGCTCTAGGCAAGGCCACACAGGGGTACAACCTATGTATGGCTTCTCTGAAGAGCTGTATAAATTGAGCTGATGATAAAAGCAGTGTTTGTTGTTTATTTGTTTTGCAGTGTATAGTTTGAGCCAAAGTCTTTTAATACTAAGGTAGCCATTCTTTGCCTCCAGTTGTTGAGGGTATTTTTGTTATCAGTTCTCCTAAATGTTTTAGAAATTGCTACACAGTGCATTTAAAGTATTTTGGAGTTATAAGGAGAAAATTGAAATACTATTAAAAATCAAGTGGGACACACATTTTGTTAGAATTTTCTTCCTATAGTTTGTCTCGGTCCTCGGTCCTTTGTAAGTACAAATAGCAAAAAAAAAAAAAAAAAAAAAAAAAAAAAAAAAAAAAAGATAGGCATTCAGATTTCTTACTAAAGCTATGCAAAAAAAAAAAAAAAAGTCAAACTCACCTAGCACCAATCTACAGATTACACTATATTAATTTCACAGAATATTAATTTCACAGAATTTCATAGAATTGTCTATGTTGGAAGAGACCTCAAGATCATCGAGTCCAACCTCTGACCTAACACTAACAAGTCCTCCACTAAACCATATCACTAAGTTCAACATCTAAACCTCTTTTAAAGACTTTCAGGGATGGTGACTCCACCAATTCCCTGGGCAGCCCATTCCAATGCCTCACAACCCTCTCAATAAATTTCTCACATTCTTTTAACTGAAAATACTATTTGTGATAATTACAATCCATGTTTCCATTCAGGTTGCTGTTAATTGGAGTGATCAAATCATTTAGTGAACAAAAATGGCTCTAGGATGAAAGAGATACTGATGTTGATCTTGTATTCGTTGTGAAAGCTTAAATTGCTAGACCTTTCTAATTGTTTATTATAATTTGTTATTTGTTATAACCTAGAAATTCTGTGATTCTGTGATTCTTATTTGTTATAATTGTATGAATCATTTTATTTGTTGCTTACAATGATGTACTGGCACTGTATCAACATAAAAAGAAAGAAAACATGACTGTTTCAAGAAATATTAAAGTTGTGATTTGTTGATTTAAGCACCTAAAATACTGTCAGTTTTTCCAAGCTTCTTTAGACTTTAAATGTTGGCTGTAAAAGCTGAAACAAAAAGTTGATTTCTGATATTAACCTCTTACTGTCTATTCATTTGGTGATGAGAATATTCAGTGGTATTTTGGCCTTTTGGCTCTGCTTGCAAGGTAAGTAAGATTGAAAAATCATTAAAGTTATTTCAGAAACGTTCTGTTTAGACTTGATGTAAAAACATTTAAAATATTTCTGGATGACAGTGGTGGAAAATTTGTACATTTTTTCCAAAGTGGTTGAACCATCACTAATTCAGTGCAATCTTACCCATACAATGCAGTAGAGTTTTTGAGCTTCTTTTTCAAGTAGTATCCTTTGAGAATAAATATTAGTCTCACACTTTTCCTTCAT